AGTATTGACAAAAATATTCAATCTTTTTTACATCAAAATAAGCTCAAACATCTGCTGCCAAAGTCAGATAATATCAACTAATCTTTTAAAAGTATATTTTTATTATACTGACAGATGCATGGCTGCATGACATAGATGTCAATTTAAGTTACTAGTGCCATTAATWCTTGACAAAGACATGCTCCCAGAAGAATTTATGTTCTTAAATTGTTGTCAGATGTGTATGTGCCAACAAAAAGTAACCAGAGTTATTCAGCTATGTTGTTAACAAAGCTAAAAGTGTGTTGTCTCCAGAGACGTCACAAAATTGCCATTCACATCTTTCCTATTCTCTAAATTCCTCAGAATTGACAGCAGAAAAAATAATTCTGTGCCTGCAAATGCCTGTTTAACCAACCCAGAGATACATCCTTCTTCACTTTTGTATGTTCTGGATAGCAGCACAGGAAGATTTTCAATTTCATTTGAAGTGAATGTCTTCAGGATTCAATGCTTCCATCAAAATTTCAAATAACCTTACTGTTTGGCAAGAATGTCGGTGTAAAGAGAACAGTGAGGAAAARAACAGTTTCTGGTCTGCTTATGCAGTCAAAAAAGTCTTGGAAACTGATAAAATGTAACTTATTAAGAAAGCTGAGAGTTAAAACGTTCATGTCCAATTCTTATTTGTCAAATGTGATGGTATATTAATTACTAAAATGTGTACATATTAGTAACCTGAGCTTTCATTATGGGTATTCCATAATGAGCAGCCAAGCTTACTTTAAATTCTATCCTTCCAGGTATTTTCCTTTTATTTACTTTTTTCCCTTCTCTCCCCACACTAGTTATTTTGAAAGAATTTTGTTTCTTAAAGCAAAAGTTGAATTCTCTGGGTACAACAGACTGGTGTTCACTGGCTTGCTTTAGTAGGGCTGTCCTGGAGCTGTTAAGTAGMATGTATATCTAGTCCATTGAGGTTTTAGGTCATTTGAAATACTGAATTTCTGGGGCCATAAACATTCCATTAAGGGCTAAATYGTTATCCTCTGTGATTAGATGCTGGTTTTTTTGTTGAAGTGATTTTTTTAGAGTGGATTTTTTCTTCTAGATGAGCCTGAACTTTGTAGAAATACTTTTTCTGCTAGTAGTTCCAATGTCCCTATTAAAAAGAAACCCAGAACTAAAGGGCTGAAAGGCATCTTATCACTTCTAGATGTATTTCTGTTCACTGTACTGAGGCAGGCTGTGAAGATGAGATCTCTCTCAAAATGCAGCATTCGAGGCTCCTTTTAAAGTAGTGGTGATGCAAAGCATCTCTAGTGCTGTAATTTGTATCATGAAGCCATTATTTAAAGGACACCACAGGACCACTAGTCCACAGGTATGGTGCTTTTTAACTTCCTTTTTTTTAATATWTTTTTTTAATTGAAGTCTGTGATACTGGTGTAGGAAAAATATTTACAATGACATGAACTCTCACCTCTGCTGCCTCTTGAGGGCTGTCACCAAGTGATGTTTTGGGTGGGCCCTATCAATGTGTGCTGTATTTCAGTCTGACAAGGCAGTCTGTAGTCTGCTGRCTGCCTCACCACTCTGTGTGGATATTAAAATAATATTTCAAGATTGTATTGTGAGTAGATTTTCAGAGTTAAYGTCCAAGAAACTATTGTGGACTGTRGTTTTTAAGAAGGCAATTTCAGAGAGGTTGGGCAGGTCAGGGTGAAAGGGTGATATGGGGAATGAAATGAGGTGCAAGAATCCTTTACCTCACATTTCTTTGGAGCCCCTCTTATGCTTGTTTGTTTTATTTTTCTTTGCCTTGGTGACTTGGTAGCAATTCAGTCTTCCTATTCCTCCCACCCTATGTCTCCTATGACTTGCAAATCTTGTGCAGCTCTGGAAAAAAAGAAATAAGGACAAGGGGTTACTCACRATGGATTTACAATYTGCAGTCRTAAAAYCATAGAATCATAGAGTGGTTGTGCTTGGAAGGCACCCTAAAGATCCTCCCTTTCCAGCTGTCCTGCTGTGRGCAGGGACACCTTCAGCTTYCACTAGATCAGGTTGCTCAGAGCCCCATCCAGCCTGGCCTGGGACACTGCCAGGGGTGGGACAGCTTTTCCAGGATGTGTTATAAGGTGTTGTGCCTGAGGCTGGGATGCCCTGAGTGAGGGTTGCAGTGCTGTAACTTGGGGGGCATTTCAGATTGTGGCAGCTTTGGAGGTTGAAAGCTTCCCAGGACCTTCTGCTGATTGCTCATTCACCTACTCATAGTTAAACCTTCACAGCAGGAGCAGTTCCAAAGTGTTTTCCAAGACTTGATGGTTTGGGATCACCAATGGACAAAATGCAGCTGCAGATAAACACAGAAGGACTGAGAGAAGAGGCCATGCTTGCTCCAACGTAATACGATGTGATTGCAGCCGTGGGGCTGTGCTGACCTGTGGGTGGGAGAATATTCATTAGGTGCTAAGTGACAAGTTACTTCTGTAGTGGTGAGACTTTCCCAAAGATGGAARGAGAGGTGTGTTTAGTGAACCTTTCAGGGAGTGCCTGAAATATCTGAGAAGTTCTTGCTTTTTGGGTGACACGTTATCGTTCTAGAAAAGAAACTGTAAATATAATTCAGTCTTGTTTCCTGAAATCATAGGGCAATGGTTTAATTTTCCTTCTATTATGCAAGCAAAATTTTTAAAAAAGAGTGCCTGTGRATTATTACTGCATTTTCAATAGCTGCAGTAGATGCATTGCAGCCAAAAATCTATTTGAACTGTTTTTGCGTTTCTATAGAGAAGTGTGTGGTGCTGACTTATRTTATATGTTATTAAGAAGTTTTTGGAAAGTATCGGAAAGATGAACATTGTCAGGAAGACTTAATGAGAGAAACATAATTCTCTGAGAAGCCATTGAATRAAAGTTTGCAATGGGGATGTTGGCTGGGTATCCGAAGAAACTTTTTTAACAGTGGAAACTTTGGTAACAGGTTTTAGCTGTTTGTCTCAAGTCTCTCGAACATAATAACTGAAATCCTAGAATATGACTCATGTAAGGATTAGAATAGTGTAATTGTAGGTGTATTCTACAGTGCCAAAAAATGAGCTGGAATAGCAGGCTTATGGCAGTGGGATGATACTTTGTTCCTTTTAGTATCTTCTGATAAGAGCTGTGCTGATTCCTGTTACAGACAAGCACCTTTTATGGCAGGGAAAGTGATGGTACCTAAAGTGATGGTACCTGTTACAGGAGGTCCTCAGAAATAGCTATAAAAATACATGAGGCTGCTTTTAATTTATTTCTCTGTTTAATAGTGAATTTCAGTCAGGSCAAGAATAGGTAAATATAGCAAGATTGACATTCTTGGCACCATGTCTTCACACATTTATTATTTTACCATCATTATGTCTTTGTCAAAGGCAATATGTACATGGCAGTATTTGTTCCCTGCTGGCACTTTATAGAGATGATAGGCAAGAGATGTTCATCACATATAGGTGACCGTGTTGTTATTTTTTAGTTTTCTATTTTGTGCCTGTTGCTCCAACCTTTCTGCATTGCCAGACAAGCCCTTCTTTGAAAATGGCTCCAAATTACTTTGTTTCAGGAACAAGGATTATCTGCCCCATTTTCCTTCATCTAATGTTCTAGAATAATAGAACCAGACTTGGATGAGAAAGGAACATCTCTCTAGGTCTTGGTTTTGATGATTCCTCTTTGACTGTAGGAACAAGTAATCCTAGCAYGAGTAACTTAGTTTGGTTTGATTTGATATGGTCAGCTATGCTGGATATAAAGCTGCATGTTTTTTTTTCTTTGAAGAACATTGTATTTTGGATAATGTAGAGGTATTTTTAAAGATCACAGATCTTGAGTATGGTACTTTGGTGGAAAACATGGCTTTCTTAGGAAGGAAGTTTTACTGCAGTGTCAAGGAAAGCTGGCTGCAAATGTTTGAGCTGAAAATGGATATTAAGTCAAATAGCATTTGGAGAATATGTGATAAAGAAGAAAACAAAGATAATTGTCAATTTTATGTAAAGTCTTAAGMAAATGAAGAAAGAAACCCAACAGCAGGGAGTTGGCTGTTTACAGACTTCTATTGAGGAAGCAGAGAAAAATAATATAAACAATAACATAAAGAAAATACCTAATTTATTCTGTGTGTTTTGCTATATACCCTTGCCCTGGAGCAGGGCATGGTTTGAGGTATCTCTTCTTTACTCATCAGGAAACAATAAGTAATACCTGTGTCTCTCCCTTATGTTCTTGCTTTTATGTTGTGTTTTATCTTTATTCTGATATGACAAGGATTTGTTTCCCACACATCTAAAGGGCACATTTAGAAGCTTAGGCTTTCCTTCTGTTTCTGCCTAGGCAGCGAAAGGAAAATATTTGGCATGACTCCAATTGTGCTAGCTTAATTTGAAGGACCATGTTGTATCACCATGCTCTGAAAATTGCTTTCCATAAGTGATTTATCAAGTTCTGGCCTGGGTAGCTGGATGGTTGCAGTGCTGAGTCAATTAAGTCTGCTGAGGGAAATCCCAACTTAATTGCACAAACCCTTTTACATAAATGGGGCCGGGATTTCTCACTGTCATTCCCAAAGGTCCCATGGCATAGGAAAYAAGGAGAGATAATCAAAAGTTGCATCAAAGTCTATTTAAGTTTCTCTACCATGAAAATTTTCAGTTAATTTGGTAATCACAAAGGAATACGGTTTAYAAAATTATAAATGCAAGATTGTAATTTCATAACCTATTCAACCTATTCATAATGCATTAACTTTAGTAATTGTATTATTGTTTTATTTATTAGCTTGTATATTCAAAGATATCATCAAGGTAAACATCGTGATTGCAATTTACAGTAAGTGATTTTGCATTAAATGTTTTTGGGTAAAGGAAGAGTAGCAAAATTATTGAAACAATGGAAAACCTCTTGTGAAACATCTTCTGTTTTGGTTCCATGCATATTTAGGAAGGTCAATGCTAATAATTCCCTTTTTGATTTTCTTGCAGCTAATTCCAGCCTTCTTGGAGGTGGAGGAGGTGAGTCTGCTTAATKCTTAATTCTTTCTTAAGTAAACATGAAATATATTCTGGACCAATGCAGGGGTTAATTGGTTAGAAAAGAATATGTGATAAATTCAGAAGTTGGAAATACAAATTTACTGTATGGGAAAATTCACCAACGTTGATAATCTTTCCTATCCTCAAGAGGCAAGATTTGTGACTGCTGCTGAATTCAGTTTCACCTCTAGGTCAGGGTAGAGGCTAACATGGGTATGAGGCTGACTAAAACATAAAGGAGCTGAACTGTCTTATGTTGTGTTGAGTTTTTAAGTATTTAGCTTTTTAATTTACATAAGGGGAATCCCAAATGTATGATTAATAAACAATTTAAAAAGAAATGTTGAAATATTAGAACAGAGTCAAAAGGAATTTTAATAAAAGAATGGGGCTTTATCTTTGTACTTTTTAAAAAAAATATTTTTATGATTTAAACTTGGTTACTTACCTTTCTCTGTTTGCCAGAATAGTCACGTGGATTTTAATACAAATCTTTGGTGCAGGTCAGAGATGCTACCAACATGTCTACGAGTAAGGCAGGAATGCTCAAATGCATACCACTGTATTGCTTTCAAATATATGGAGGATGTTTTATTATAGTAGATCAATGTTTTTTACTTTTGGTATTACTGTAGCACTGTGGCTGTGAAATCTCCATGAGTGGTAACAATTCAGGAAAGACAAACCCATGAAGAGCCTGATCTCAGTTTTCAGTGACTTCCCCTGCCACGCAGAGGGAAGTATTTTAGCTCTGTTCTGGAAATTTCCCAGCGCAGGAGCAGTAGAGGCAGCGACTAATCTTCCTTCCTGGCGGGAGTTAAAAGGACTCGATGATCAGAGCTTCCATATGTAAGGGTAAAGGAAAGGGCTCTGAAAAGACAGGAGAACTCTGTCGCTTGTGAGGCTGCAGGAGAAGTTGTCAGACTTTTTATTTTAACTAAAAAGGCAGCTCTTATTTTGGACTATGACAAGGTGTTTGACMACTAAATAAAATCATCTAAGTAAAACCATTCACGTTCCTCAGCTGTGTGTCTGGACATTAAAGTACAGGGCAGCCTTAACCTGCTAATCCTGTTGGATTAATCTGTTTCTTTTGATTTGAGTTAGTTGTTTGCARTATACCAAATTTTTCTTTGTTTAAAAGATAATCCTTTAGGAGGTAATCCTTCTCTAGCTRTTCCTGTTTCTGCAGAGCTGCTCCTGTACCTCCTCTCCAGCACTTACTCCCAGCTGGTAACATCGAAAAAAAAAAATAAATCAATGCAAATGTTCAAATTCCAATCAGGTTCCCAGAGCACTGCTGCTGCTGAAAGGATTTGGCTATTAACTTTCTGTGTTATTTATTCAGCTGGACTGTACTTCAGAAGTTGATGTCTGTTCAGCGTGGCACTTGATAATGTGGCTCTCCCACTGCAGCAGATGGGATGAGCCTGTGCTGTGGGTCAAGTTGGGATTTTCCCTGTATTTTATGCRTTAAAAGTGATACTTTGGCAATTAAAAATATGTTTTCTCGTGGCAGGATGAGGTGATGACAGCCCAAGGGGCTGGTGCTACTGCCCCATCTCCTCTTCTTCTCCTCCCTCTCTCCCTCCTCCTGCCCTGCCATCCTTTGGGGCTTTTACTGCCATTTTAAAGATCAGTGTCTTCAGGGCTGTGGGGAAGCTGCTGTGGCAGGTTGGATTTGGGCACAAGGTTGGTCCCTGTGGGYACCATCTGCTGCAGCCCCCATGGCCAGAGCCCCAGTCCCACATCCTTTAATCTCTGGTGTACCTCTTGCTTGTGGTACAGGTAAAATACCAAATTTGACAGTTTTGTGGCTTAGAGGGTGGCTGCTCATGGTTGAAGGGCTGAAGTTGTGGAGGTACCATCAGCTGCCCATGGGTAGGGCTTCTGATGTCCTCAGAGCAGACTCCTTTGGGATTTCCAGGTTTTTTGAAGAAAAATCACGAAAATTTTATTGCTAAAGTACTCTAGATTTTGGGCAGGTGCACGTGGTGCATGTTTTGGAGAAGGGAGAAGTGTGTGGGGTCTGCAGTCTGAAGTTGGGGTACACAAGGYATCCCTGGCCAGCCACCCACCTGCCCCAGGCTGATGGAGCCTGGAGCCCCTGGCTTTTGGAAAAATAGCTTGTTATTGATCATAGGCATTTCTCTGTAGAAGGGATTTTTTCCTTCCCAGTGGAATAGTTGTGGGTTGAAATTCTGGGTGTATTTTTCATCCAGAAGGAAGTGGTGGTTGCACTGTGTGAAATATTGATAGTGAATTATTAAAACTTTATTATATACGTAAACACCAAAGCCTTCTTTTGATTGCAGATGCTGCATATTTATGATAATGCATAACACCAGTGTAGTTTCTCCAATAATAGGATTCAGATCTCCTTGGTAGTGCTCGTTAATTTAATCTCTGTCACTGCTGGGGGTATGAATACATGCCTTAGTTTTACAGAAAATGAAATCTGGAAATTTCCGCTTGCCCAAGCTCATGCAACAGGTGTCGTGATTTTGAGCTGCTTTTGAGCTCTTCTACATTTGAAATGTTTTCAGAACTGAACACAAATTAATTGGAAATAGTTATTTGCACATCCTGATCTAATGTTTGCAAATTACTTTCTCTGGGTGTTAAAACCATTTTCTGGWGGAGACCTGCTAAGAAACCCAGTGGGCAGCATTCTGGGTAAACATCATGCACTTGCTTATAAGTTCAAGTGCTGGTGGTTTAGGGTGGCTGCTTATTATCCCTGTATCACCTCGGAGCCACATCAGGGCATCCCTGTACTTCGATTTCCCAGAGCCAGAGTAATGGTTTGTTCTTGCATTCCCCATTTAAATGCCGTCTGTTCATTTTCATGACCRTTTGGAATGAAGAGATAAAAGCACAAAAGATACCAGAAACAATTTTTCACAGAACTGTTTAATCATAAAATCAAGAAACCCACAATAGAGTCTTTAGTTAAATATTGATGTTGAAGGTTTCTTTCTGCTTTTCAAATAACTCTGAAGTTTCCAGGATTTCATTATGAGTTTGGTAAGTGAGCCTTTTTTCTTTTTCRTTCTTTACTGTTTTTAATAATTGATTTTTAATTAGGAGGCATATTTCACTTTCAGGTCTAGATTTATCACGCTTTCAGCATCTCACTGCTAATAACTTGCACAGAGCATTATGACTTATTTGTGCATCATGTATTATTTGTCCCATTATGTCCAACAGTGCAAAGGTGAAAATTACTAAAAAAATTATCTGTCTTTGGAGGGAGCAAAGAAGCACTTGGTATTTTAAGAAAAAGTAAGCCTTTTAAAAATGTGTAATGAAATTTTGGCTTGAGAAATTGAAATGCCCTATTTTGCATGGCAAACACCTTCCTTTACACTCTTTTACATTTGTGTCAAGGACTACAGGCATGTGCCTTTATGTGCTTTGTTTAAGCAAAGTGAGCCAGAGCTGAGGTTTGTCCTCCCTTATGGTATTGGGTAATCTGTGGGGTGTTTTTGGGTGGTCTGCCCCACTGTTCTCACCTAGTTTTCAGTTATTTTCCTTGTGGTTCATTTTTCCTGTACTTGATTTGCTGACTGTAATCATGTTCTTGTTGCATGCTGATTTGTACACTGGCTTGATTTCTCTGACCTTAAATTGAAGGTATTTTTAATTTTGGATTTTTTTTCCTCATAACATTTTGTAGCCTATGCTAGAACTCAGGAAGGAGACATCACCTTCTAGTGTGTGTTATTATGAGCATAATTTCTTTCAGCTCTGAACTTAAAACTGGTAATTTTGTCTTTACAAACTCAGAGAGAGGACAGGTTATATTCACAGTCTCTTGGAAGCATTGTTTGGACCCAGTTTAAGTTGGTTGCCCCAAAAGATCTGTCAGCTTTTCTGTTTCTCTCCATCTCTCTCTTTTTTTTGGCCAGGGTAGCTATATTTTTTCCAGGGCTTTTTCTGGCATGGAAAAAAATAATTTCCATATAACCATAAGTATTTTAGCAAATCTTAAATGTAGACCAGACCTACCTCTCCACCCTGCCAAGATATGGTTTGTAGGTACAGTTTTAAGCAATTATTATGGCATGGGGAACTTGTGTTCATGGYCACAGCAGGGAGCTGGCTTTCTCTSTGCTTTATTGCATAGACTCCATTTTGAACATGGAATTTGCTGTATTTATATCTATGTTGCATTATAATAGTTACAAAAAAGCAGTTTTTCCCAATAGAAATTACCACAGATTGACTTTTATCCTGGACTTTTTGCTTCAAATGTGTCAACTGCTGCTTGCCAGCCACCATGTCTGTTTGTCAATTAATTGTGGGCTAATGAGCTAAAAAATCCAGTGTTTATCMAGTCAGTAGTGTCAGGAAGAAACAGCTGACACAAATATCTTGACATTCCTTTCCTTAGCCAGGGATAAGGGATAAAGTTTTTATTCTCACAGCTGTGTCTCAGGTACACTACTCACCATATYCAGCAGATACCTTCTGATAGTTACATCTCTAGCCAAAAAAAAAGGTTTTTCACTGTCTTAATAGTAACTTGACATCAATTTASTGACTGAATATCAGTGACACTGAGAAATGAAAGTTGTACAAGAGAAAATAGGAGGCAGGAATGAGACAAGTTGCAGAGCACCCTGTAGCAATGTAACAGGAGAATACTTGAAATACCAGACTTGCCCTGCACCCACCCTTTCAAAATGTCTAACAGGAAGAAGACAAGCCTATTTTATCCTGAACCAGGACTAGATGCTCTCTKTTTTGGATTTCACAGGGCTTGGGCTTGATATTTACATAATTTAAATGCAAGTGAAGCAAGGGTTTAAATCCAAAGTTCAAATTTGTGCATGACGTGCGCATAACATGAAATGCATCCCGTGAGATGGAGAAGAAACAGTTTGAGAAAGGAGCACTGACAGGATTCTTTCATCARGAAAATAAGCATTATTATTTTTKTATTTTTTWATGTCAGTCTGTTGGCATGTTCTTGT